GGTTCGTCGGAGAGGAGCGGGTGTGGAGGGTGGGGCAGGAGGGACGGGGGGTGCGGAGGAAGTGGGAGGGTGAGCAGGGGCAGCAGGGGCAGGAGGAGCAGGGGCAGCAGGAGCAGGGGGAGCAGGGGTGGGAGGAGGAGCGAGAGCTGGGGCAGCCACAGGAGCCGGAGCAGGAGGAGGCAGGAACCTGTCGACCAAGGTCTGAAGGTGGCCTCTGAGGGCACGGCCCTGCTCCTCCAGCATCTCCAAGCTCCGCTGCCGCAGCCGAAGGTCCTCCCGGACCCAGTGGTCCGGGGTGCAGAGCTGGTGCTCCAGTAGCCGCACGTGCCACCGGTGGTAGTCCTCCAGGTTCCTGGTGTGCCTGCTGTCCCAGGTGCGGGTTGCTGTTGCAGGTGGGGTGGTGCACCCTGCAGTCCCAGGTGCTGCGGCTGTGGGGAAACAAGAGCAGTGGTCAGTTCTCCCTTGGGACACAGTGGGTGAAGCCCAGTCCCCCTCTGCAAGGCAAGGACCGCAGATCTCCGCACCATCTGAGCTAATGTACTTGCACACAGGCCGTGTTCGGCATGTCCTGCTATCCCCAGGAGTGGGAGCTGGCCCAGAACTGCACCCATGCCCCTGTGCTATATATAGTGGGGAGGGGGAGAGATGTGCCCTGCCTCTGTGTAGAGGGGGCTTCTGGAGGGAGGGCATTGTGCAGTGTCCCACCCCGGAATCAGGAGCATATCATGTGCCTTTATACATACATGCGTGTGGGTAACAGGCCAAGGCCCCTGTGTGGCAGTCACCTGGGGCCACGTGCCCAGGGGTGGCACAGCACATGCACAGGTTGCTGCGTAATCCGTGGTCAGCAAGGGCCACACGCGGTCCCTGGTCTCCCTCTCCTCTCCACCCCACCCCCCCGACATAAAGGGCAATGGTGGCACTCACGTGTCATTGCCTCCCCGGCCTTGGATGACACCGGCGACAGGCCCGCTGGGACGGCTCGGGGGTCCTGGGTGTAACCGGCGACAGGCCCGCTTGGACGGCTCAGCGGTCCTGGGTGTACGGAATACTCCCTCCTGCAGCTCCTGGCTCCCCTCCTCCTCCGTTTCCTGGTCAGGGCCCTCTGCCCCAGGAACGATGACCACCTGGGGAGCATGGACCATCCCACCCCTTCCCCGGATGTGGTCCAGGGCATCAAAATAGGGACAGGGGTCTGGAGCTGCCCCCTGTAGCTCTGGCATAGGCCTGCTGCAGCTACTTTATTTTCATGTGAACTTGCTCCTGGGTTCGCATGTGCCTTTGGTGGCCAGGCTGGCAGCCATCCGCCTTTAGCCGGTTGCATTCCTTCGTTTAGTGCAGAAATCGCGGACGTTGGAGGCCTCCCTCCAAACCTGAATTAGGTCCATGATCTCCGCACAGGACCAGGCAGGCGCCCGCCTTTTCCGGCCCCTGGCAGGCTGCTGGGAGTTGGCAGACTGGTCCTGGGGAGCGGTGGAGGGCTAGCTGGCACTGGCTGCCTGGCTCATGCTGGGGCCACTGGGTCAGGTGCAGCGACTGCTGGCTCTGGGCTGGCAGCTTGGAGCTGGCACAGGCACTGTGGCCAGAGTCTGCCCTTTTAAGAGCTCCGGAAGGGAGGGGGGACAGAGAGGAGTTTTCCTGGTTGGGGCCAGAGTGGCCAGGAGAGCACCCTGTGAAGGGCTGGAGGCCCCCTATTTCAAAATAAGCATCTACAGAATGCTTATTTCAAAATAGCAGTTTCAAAATTGGCACTATTTCTCGTAGAATGAGGTTTACGAATTTTTAAATAAGCCCTCCGCTATTTTGATTTAATTTCAAAATAGCGGTTTGGCTGTGTAGACGCTGGTAAAGTTATTTCGAAATAACATCTGTCATTTTGAAATAACTTTGCTGTGTAGACATACCCAGAAGGAAGTTTTTCTTCACTCAGCGCACAGTCAGTCTGTGGAACTCCATGCCACAGGATGTGGTGAAGGCCAGGACTTTAACAGGGTTCAAAAGAGACCTAGATAGCCGTTGATGGATCTAACTTCCATTAATCTATGAGCCAGGATGGGTAGGAATGGTGTCTCTAGCCTCTGTTTCTCCAGAAGTGGGTGACAGTGGAGGGATCACATGCCTCCCTCTGGGGCATCTGGTATTGGTCACTGTTGGCAGATAGGATACTGGGCTGGATGGACCATTGGTGTGACCCAGTATGGCCATTCTTATGTTCTTAAGCAAATGTGTATGTTTTTAAAGCAGAGTTAGAGCAGAAATCATGTCTACGGTCATTTGTCTACAAATAAAGTTTATTTTTATAGTAGTGTATTGTGATGTATATTTCTATCATAAGTTTTGTCGTTCAGTTATACATTTTAAAAAACTGAACCATGAATACTGTTTTAATTAAGAAAGAATTAGATTCTCAATAACAGTAAATACTGAAGAGAACATTCAAACAATTAGAAGATAACTGCAGCCTGATGTGAAACCTTTTAGAAATGGGAAGTCGTTTTAAAAAATTCAATTAACATTAATTCTATTAGAAACAGAGGGGTTTTTCCTCTAATAGAGACGAACCCTCTTTTTTTCAACAGACAAGAAATTCATACAAAAATTCAACCATCTTCATTTTTTACAAATCTAGCAAGTAGCTGTTTACAATACTCAGTAATGCAATCTAGAAGACTAAAATTAATTGAAGACTGTGGCTCTAATGCATTGTTTTGGAATCTAAGCACATTAGATTTAATTGTTTCAGTAGCAGCGTGCCTATGTATTGTAGAAGATACAATATCTGTGTGAGTCATTCACAATTTTTGAATTGTTGCCTAGAATATTGCTACCATACCTGTTTCAATTGGTTATTCATTTGTCATGAATAACTTCATGAAAGAAGCTGATTTTTGTTTGTCTGCACTATTTTACTGCATTAACTTTACATTTTCAGTATTCGTGATGATAAAGTGGTGGTTGGTTTTCAAAATGTTGACTTTTTTTTAAAGGTTGATTATAAACTGATATTTTATTTGTTTTATCAGGTCAATTACTAAAAAGTGCCTTTGTGAAGTCACTTTTACAAGAGAGGACTGCGACTCCTGAATGTGTTTTCAAAATATCATCTCTGCCAGCTAGACTTTGCCCTGACCTTATATGTCACGGAAAACACCTCAACTGTCTTGGTTTGCCAATTGCTTGATGTGAACTGGCTTCCATATTAAAAAAGCTGAAGAAAGAATTATTGCCAGAACGTGAATAAGCTGACTGCATTGCTTTTCTTGTGCAATCAATACCAGCAAGTAGCCTGCAAAGAATTAATACTATATCAAGGAGTGCCATTGGATTAAAGTAATTTAATTTAAAAAATTGTGTCAGTGATCCAATCAAGAGACTCAGATATTTTACAGACAGAGATGCTACTGAGCATGATTTTTTTGCAGCCAAAAGTCTAGAAGTGGGACATATTGATTGATGAGTGACTGCTTGCTGATAAATTGTCTTTGCTCATTCTGCTTTGTGTATTGGGCTCCATTAAGCAATTTATTACTTCATTGCTGCTAGGAGCTCTGTGGGTATTTTTTCTCTCTCTCAACGATAGTTTTTGGAATTGTTGCTCTGCATAATTCACTTAATAGTCATTCAGAAAACCTAAATTGGTTTTTCATCATGGCTTTGAATGTTGCTCCTGTAAGAGATACAAAATGGCTGACATTAGAAGTGTGCCGACAGTTTCAGAGAGGAACTTGTTCGCGCTCTGATGAGGAATGCAAATTTGCACATCCCCCCAAAAGTTGCCAGATTGAAAATGGAAGAGTTATTGCCTGCTTTGATTCTCTAAAGGTAAGAAAGTTGCATATGTTAATGAACATATTAATATTTGACATAAAAATATAAACAGTAATTTTATTGCTGGTGCATCATATGCATATTTTGCATGTTTTACAGATTGTGTTTATCTTAAGTTTTGTTTTTTCAAGCTTTACAAGAATTTCTGCTTGCGTATTTTCCTGTCAGATGTCAATGTCTGTAAATCCAAATTGTGTAAGAGTATGGAATGCATGATTATTGACATTTGATAAGACCATTGTGTTCACATGAATTATCATGGTTCCAGGTCAAATTAAATGTCTACATAAGAATGGCCATACTGAGTCAGACCAAAGGTCCATCTAGTCCAGTATCCTGTCTGCCAACAGTGGCTAATGCCAGATGTCCCAGAGAGAGTGAACAGAACATGGAATCTTCAAACAATCCCTCTCCCGTCACCCATTCCCAGCCTCTGACAAAGGCCAGGGACATCATTCCTACCCAAGCTGGCTAATAGCCATTGATGGAATTAGCCATTGATGGAACTAACCTCCATGGATTTATCTAGTTCCTTCTTGAACTCTATTAAAGTTCTGGTCTTCATAACCTCCTCTGGTGAGGAGTTCCACAGGCCAACCATGCGCTTTGTGAAGAAAAACTTCCTTTTGTTTGTTTTATACCTGCTACCTATTAATTTCATTTGATGATTCCCTACCTGCCATACTACTTATAATATGGGAACAAGTAAATAACTTTTCCTTATTCACTTTTTCCATATCAGTCATGATTTTATAGATCTCTACCATATCCCCTCTTAATCTCCACAGATTCTAAGATGAAGAACCCTAGTCTTTTAAATCTTTCTTCATATGGGACCCGTTCCAAACCCCTAATAATTTTTGTTACCCTTTTCTGAACCTTGTCCAATGGCAATGTATCTTTTTTGAGACGAGGTAACCGCATCTGTGTGCAGTATTCAAGATGTGGGCGTACCATGGTTTTATATAGAGGAAATAAGATGTTCTGTATCTTTAGTTTCTGTCCCTTTTTTAATGATTCCTAACGCTCTATTTGCTTTTTCTGCTGCTAGATGTTTTCAGAGAACTATCCACAGTGATTCCAAGATCTCTCTCTTGAGTAGTTATAGCCAAATTTAGTTCTCATCATATTGTATGTATCATTGGGATTATTTTTTCCAGTGTGCATTACTTTACATTTACCAACATTAAAATCATTTGCCATTTTGTTGCCCAATCACTTAGTTTTGTGCAGGGGGTCAGACTAGATGATCATAATGGTCCCTTCTGACCTTAATGTCTATGAGTCTATGAGTTGGTGAGATCTTTTTGAAGCTCTTCACAGTCTGCTTTGCTATTAACTATCTTGAGCAGTTTGGTATCATCTGCAAATTTTGCCAGGTCTCTGTTTACCCCTTTCTCCAGATCATTTATAATAGGCTGAATACAATTGACCCCAGGACAGACCCTTGGGGGACACCACTAGTTACCTCTCTCCAATCTGAAAACTTACCATTTATTCCTACCCTTGGTTTCCTGTCTTTTAACCAGTTATCAGTCCATTAAAGGACCTTACCTCTTATCCCATGATAAGAGCCTTTGGTGAGGGACCTCGTGTCATTCCACAGGGCCAGGGCCCAACAGGGTTGTAGATTCGCTTCAACACAGTAGCGATTAGGGATAATGTACTTTATTAAGCTCACTACTCCACTGCTACTATACTTCACAGGGTATACTCTAGCAAGCGAAAGCACTACAGAACAATGGTTAAAGGAGTAAAAGGCTCTTTGGAATGCTCACGTCCCTTCAGGTCTGTGGGGAGTCCCATTCCGGTTACCTCGCACCCGGCCACAGCGGACATGGCTCCAGCATGGGGGAATCCCGGTCAGCCCTCGAGATTGGGGCCTCGATTGAGACTCAACTAGGGGTGGGACTTTCTACAATAACTGCACTACAGTTGTTTACCGGGTGTGCACATACCTGGCTCAATGCCATTCTTATCACTCTTACGGGCTGAGACCGAGGTCAAACTTATTTACCGCTTAGCAGTTTCCCAGCTCAAGGCATGGATTAACACTGATAAAGCTCACAGCTATGATGAGGTAACTGGCTCTGTGGATATGGAGAAGTCAGTGGATGTGATATACCTTGACTTTGGCAAGGCTTTTGATATGGTCTCCCACAATATTCTTGACAGCAAGTTAAGGGAATGCGGATTGGATAAATGGACTGTAAGATGGATAGAAAGCTGGCTGGAAGGTTGGGCCCAGCAGGTAGTTATCAATGGCTCAATGTCAGGATGGCGGTCAGTTTCTAGTAGAGTGTCCCAAGGTTCGGTTCTAGGACCAGTTTTGTTTAATATCTTTATTAATGACCGGAATTAAGGGATGGATTGCACCCTCAGCAAGTTTGTGGATGACACTAAGCTAGGGGGAGAGGTAGATACGCTGGAGGGCAGGGATAGAGTCCAGAGTGACTTAGACAACTTGGAGGATTGGGCCACAAGAAATCAACAAGGACAAGTGTAGAGTCCTGCACTTGGGATGGAAGAATCCCAAGCATTGTTACAGGCTGGGGACCAACTGGCTAAGTAGCAGTTCTGTAGAAAAGGACCTGGGGATTACAGTGGATGAGAAGCTGGACATGAGTCAACAGTGTGCTCTTGTAGCCAAGAAGGCTAATGGCATATTAGGTTTCATTAAGAGGAGCATTGCCAGTTGATCCAGAGATGTGATTATTCCTCTTTACTCGACTCTGGTGAGGCCCCATCTGGAGTATTGTGTCCAGTTCTGGGCCCCCAATTACAGGAAGGATATGGATGCATTGGAGAGGGTCCAGCGGAGGGCAATCAAAATGATTAGGGGGCTGGACCATATGACCTATGAGGCTGAGGGAATTGGGTCTATTTAGTCTGCAGAAGAGAAGAGTGAGGGGGGATTTGATAGCAGCCTTCAACTTCCTTAAGGGAGGAAACAGGCTGGAGAGAGGCTGTTCACAGTAGTGGTAGATGGCAGAGCAAGGAACAATGGTCTCAAGTTGCGGTGGGAGAGGTCCAGGTTGGATATTAGGAAAAACTATTTCACTAGGAGGGTGGTGAAGCACTGGAATGTGTTACCTAGGGAAGTAGGGGAGTCTCCATCCCTAGAGGTGTTTAAGTCTCGGCTTGACAAAGCCCTGGCTGGGTTGATTTAATTGGGATTGGTCCTGCTTTGGGCAGAGAGCTGGATGTGATCGCCTTCTGAGGTCTCTTCCAGCTCTACGGTTCTATGATTCTATGCTGTTTGGGCTTGCAGCGTCCCACACTATGCTAAGGTGGGTACAGCGGAGATGGAAACTTCCATCCTAGGCCTGCTAAGCTGCAGGACCCACATATGACTTTTATGTGACACCTTGTCAAAGGGTTTTTGGAAATCTAAATACCCTATATCTACTGGATCCCCTTTGTCCACATGTTTGTTGGCCCCTCTCAAAGAACTGTAGTAGATTAGTAAGAAATGATTTCACTTTGCAGAAACCATGTTGATTTTTCCCCAACAAATTATGTTCTTCTATGTGTCTGACAATTTTATTCCTTACTACGGTTTCAACTAATTTGCCCGGTATTTACGTTAGACTTACCAGTCTGTAATTGCCAGGATCGCCTCTAGAGCCCTTTTTCAATATTGGCGTCTCATTAGCTATCTTTCTGTTAAAGTTCTAAGTACCTTTGAGGACTGGGCCTGAGATCCTTGTGTGAAAAGCACCACAAACATGCCAGGAGAGATTATCTGAACCTGCGGTGTGGAGCTGCAATGCACACAAGGAGTTAGAAGAAAATACCCTCAGCGTTGTCACGAGTGTCACAATCTTGGTGTTTTTCTCGATGCCCCAGCTCTTCGACTCGTACAATTACATGAAAATCCCAACATTCATATTTCAAAACATAAGCTACAAGCGAAGACCAAAGCAAAGAATTAATTTAGGGTACGTCTAGACTACCAGACATTAGGTTACCAGACATAGTAAAATGAAGCGGCAATTTAAATAATTGCAGCTTCATTTAAATTTACATGGCTACCGCGCTGAGCCGACAAACAGCTGACCTGGGTGGTCGACAAATACCTCTGATGTCGCCACCCGCGCGTCTAGACTATCGCGCTGAGCCAACAAACAGCTGATCAGCTGTTTGTCGCAGCCATGTAAATTTAAATGAAGCGGCGATTATTTAAATCGCCGCTTCATTTTACTATGTCTGGTAGCCTAATCTACATGCCTCTGGCGACAGAGGCATGTAGTCTAGACGTACCCTTAGTTTGTCCACAATGACTTCATCATCTTTGAGTGCTCTTTTGTTATCCCATCGTCCAAGGGCCCCACTGGTGGCTTAGCAGGCTTCCTGCTTCTGATGTACTTAAAAACATTTTGCTATTACTTTGTGTTTTTTGTTTTGTTTTGTTTTGTTTTTGCTAGCTGTTCTTCAAACTCCTTTCTGTCTTTTCTTATTTTTTTTTACACTTAATTTGACAGAGTTGATGCTCCTTTCTAGTCTTCTCACGAGATTTAACTTCCACTTTTTAAACAATGCCTTTTTATCTCTCACTTCTTTTACTTGGTTGTTAAGCCACAGTGGCATTTTTTTTTGTTTTCTTACTGCGTTTTTTAATTGGGGTATACATTTCAGTTGAGCCTGTATTATGGTGTCTTTGAAAAGTTTCCATGAGTTTGCATGTATTTTACTTTTGTCACTGTACCTTTTAATTTCTGTTTAACTAACCTCCTCATTTTTGTGTAGTTCACCTTTCTGAAATTAAATGCTATAGTGTCGGGCTGCTGAAGTGTTTTTCTCACTGCAGAGATGTTAAATTTTATTACATTATGGTCACTATTTCCAGTTAAATTTATCTCTTGAACCAGATCCTGTGCTCCACTTAGAACTAAATCAGGAATTGCCCCATCCCCTGTGGGTTCCAGAATCAGCTGCTCCAAGAAGCAATCATTTTAGATATCCAGAAATGTTATCTCTGCATCCTGTCCTGA